CGACATCGTTAGTTGGGACAGATAGGATATGATGGCCGCAACTCCGAGGCCATAACTACAACTTCAATTTGGGGGAGACGGGGGGTGGGGAGTCAGGGGGAGAAATTAAAAAATACAAACAACATTTAACTTGCAAGAGATATGACACTAAGTAAATACCCAAATTCCGCATGTCACTGAGCATCATTTTCCCAGTCAGCAAGACACCTACTAGGCTTAGGACGGATATAGGGGGGTTCGGGCGAGTTCTCTAAATTAAAAAAAAATTGAGACATTAAAACACGCAGACTTGGCCTCAAAATGCGGGAAATCCCATTTCCGAGGACCTCACAAATTTTTGAACGGCGAGATTCCCCGACCCCCTACGGGGGACAGGGCGTTCCCTGTTCGTTATATCAGGGTTTTGTTGTCACCTGACGATTTGTTTCCTCATAATGTATTTCTATCCATACCTTTAGTCCCGTACACACCAACTCTGAGGCACATGGGCGGGCCGTTTGTTTCTATCGGATGGATACGGACTGCTAATGTTAATCTAGGAGTAACAAGTTCATTTTCAATGGAACTGTTACCATTGGCGGGTGCGATTGGGAATTCCTGAAAAAAAAAACCGAAAAAAAACTGAGAAACAAGATACCGAAGTAGAGTCAATGTTTTAGCGATCACAAGGTTTTGACGCTGTCACAGCGTCTTTCTCGAGTGAATGTGGCGGGATTCTATTTGTCAGGTTAGCTTGGGTGAACCAAGTCACGTACATAAACATCCCCGTATGAGGCCGGAAGGGGATGTTGTGGCACGTGGTTTGGTTCAAGCTCAAGTGACAAATAGATTCCAGCCATATTCCGACACTTGAGAAAGACGCTATGAGAGCGTCGAAACCTTGTGATCGCTAAAACATTGACTCTGCTTCGGTTTCTTGTTTCATATTATGGAAGCTACAACAGAGCCGTGGACAATCGGTGTTGGAAAATTTGCCAAATAGGGGAATCAAGCGTGACCGGAAGAACAGCAGAATAGGTGTCAGTATTCCCCGTCATCTCTTTCAATGTTAGACAGTGTTTAACGGTTAATTTCCAATTAAAACGGATGAAAAGTGTCTGGTTACCATAACACGGGGTAGGAGGTGGAGAGGGGAGGGCAAAATGTACAGGGAATGAAGTTTTCCAACAACTTGTGACCAGGCCCAGGGTTGATGCTTCGTTTGAACAAGGGTGCAAAAGGCGAGGGGGGTGCAGAGTTTGGGAACTAAACCTTCCTAGAACAAAAACTCCGGCGAGTAGTCTTGAGAAGCATTAGAGACATGTCATAGAAAATACAGACAATCAGAATACAGGGAAACCTTTCCCTCGTGGACCGCGTGTATATCGCAATGATTGTGTTAGACGCTGCATGCATTTTCTATGGCATGGTATAACATAGTTATGCCACGCTCTCCCGTGGTATAAATTATACCATGGAATATCCTACTTGTCACTTGTATTTTCTTGATGTTGACACACTCGTGTACATCGAGAAAATACAAGTGACTCGTGCGATATTTGATGTTGTACCACGCGAAAGCGTTCCATAGTTAGTATATAGAAAATAGATTTGTTTACCTTGGGCGACTTGTCGTTGTCCAGGAGGAAAGACCACGCAGGTCTCCTTTTGGAAAAAGACAGACTGTAGTTCGTCGTAAAGAAATCTACCGAATCGTTCTTGAAGCCTTGAATTACGATCCCACACACGTCATAAAGATGGCCTAAATACACTTCGAGATACTCGTTGGGTGGAGGCTGACTAGTGCACCAGGCTCTGTCATTATCTAAAACCGCGTCTCTTGGTGAGTGACCTGGATCGGTTGACGTAGCTTCGTATGTAACATCACTGATTATATTATCAAAGCAATTTCCTGTAAAAAGAAATAACGGTTCTTGTAGTCGATTTTGCTTGTTAAAGTAACAAATAAATGAATCAATGAAATTTTTCATGTTTTCTGTACTCTCTTCTGACTTAAAAAGGATTCCTCAAGCCTAGAACATTTCCTAACGTCATCATGTTTGCCTTTGACAAAAACGATGACGTCACTCTACATAGCGGGGCATCATCGAAAGGGTTTTCTGTCTTTCACATTTCATTGAATCAGTTTTAAAATACTTTTTTCCTTACCTTTTACCAGGATGCCTTTCTCTGCCAGCATCGTAAAAATCACCATCAAAGCCAGTTTTGCCATCGTTCAATGTCTATCTCATATGACTTGCCAGCTATCATGAAAAGAAATCGTTATATATACATTTTAAACGGTTATTTCTACAGAAAAGGTATTACTATAGGCTATTGGTATATTAGTCAAAATTCCGTGTTTGTCTGAATTTTAGTTCCCCCAGAAATTCCGATTTCTTTTTTAACTAAGGGCTATTCCCCCCCACCCCTCCGGATTTTACTTGCGATCATGACTGCGGGTATCCCCGCGAAATGGACAAGAAATACACGGGGTCAGTGGAACCACTGACGTGGGGCTTAAATTTAGCTTTTAGCTCCTGACCTGGTGTAGTTCTTCAGGTAAGCGGTTCAGAAAGCCTGCGTTAATAGGCTCGACTTCAACAAGGCAAGCTGGCACTGCAAATTTCTAAGATACATTTTACCTCGCTCACCTCGAGGTAATGACAGCAGTTAATTGATTTCCTTATAGCATTTTCAAACCCGGACATTTTCCTTGCAGTATCATTACATTGTCAAACAGACGATTGCGAAGAATAAAGCAAAAAACTGTGCGACTGATAATTTGGATGAATAACGAACATTTCAAGGACAAAAATAATATTTGTTTTTCCGTTCCACAGTACGATGTTATTCATCTTTGTTTATGGCAACGATTTTCGCGAAAGTTCGAAGTAAATTTCAAAAGGACAACTTAACGCTTAAGTAATCCAACATTTAATACACCAACATGCTTCCATGCGCCAAATCTAAAGAATGAGGTTTTAATCTCAGTGCTTATGGTCAAGGAAATAGTTCCGAGGACTAGATGGGCCGACTGCATTGGCATTCATCTTGACATGATATTTTTAGCTTAATAAAAGTTACCCCCCTAAGAGATGCGTATAAGGTATTTTAATTTCCATTTAAAAACTGAATATTTTAAGCCGACAGTTGGTGGTGTTTTTTTTTTTTTATCAGCTTTTCAAACCTTGCTCCAGGACTACAAAACTTTTAAATTTTGTGGCTTAATAAGAAGGCATCAAAATTAAATAAACTCTTAGCCTACAGGGCTATTCTTTTCACATATTCTAAACATTTACATATCTTAACCTCTATGAAAATTTTAGTGTTGATTCAAAGGTTCGTTTCGGAAATAAAAGAGTTTAAAATTTATCCCTTGCCAGATAGAGCGATTTTCAAGTGAGTGTCGAAAGTTATCTGGCAAGCAATTTGGTTTTGGTTTGACTGCGGTTTGAGATTGTTGGCTGAGTAGTCTAACTGGTAAGAAATTGGGTTGGTTTTGTTTTTACGACACTCAATTGAAAACCACTCTAAACTGTGTAAAAACGGATAATGTTATTTCATTTTTCTATTTTCAGAACCGAAAGTAACTTAGGAGAGATATTGTGAAAGTAAATGATTTTAATCGTAGAATCTACCACCAAATTCAGAGAAGACAAAGAACTGCACTAAAATGCAGGCTGCCCACAGCGTACTGTAATCATCTCAAAGTTATTCCCGCAATAATTCAGCGGATACAAAAATAAACAAAATCTTTATACGAGGGCCTTGAAGCTATGGCGGAAACGAATATCTGTTGCCTCATTTTTTTTACTGAAACAAATCAGTCCAAATTGTAGCTTCAATTTTTGGTCTCCTCGGCATCCTCTTAGTGGCACTAACCTGAAATTATGTACAAACAAAGGACCACTGACATAAAAGTTTCACCATTTTAACTAACAATTTATATACAGTCTGTATCTTCCACATGGTCTCTGAAAATTGACCTTTCAACTTCCAGGCTTTGCTATCAAGATCGTTTATTAATTTTTATAATTACTTTTCCTTAGCCATGATAAAAACTATGAGATATGAGCCTTCTGTTGATCGAATGTGTACACATGATTCAGAATTTTGATGAATTTTCATTAAAATCAACACACTTTGTAGTCAGGTACGTTTTACAGATTTGTGTTCGTAATTATTTTTCCGAAAACAAAAATAAAATCTGCATTCAAATATAAACATTTGAATTCTTTTGAAATCTTCTCGTTGTCACAGCAGGATCTTGGAGGTGTTGGTGAGACAAATTCAATAGAATCATTGTCCCTCGGGAAAATAAATCATGAGGTCATACGTCGTGTTGACCCATGAAGGCTGTCAGAGATGCTTTATTAACTGAATTACATCTTCTGTCCCAGTTTTCTCGAACACAGATACATGTATCTTAAAGTAAAATTGAACAGTTAACCACTATCGCATTTCGCCTTTCATAAAACGTTTCAGTCCTTCACAGATCAACGTTACATTCACAAGCGTCAACCAGCATTTTTGAATGACCACGTTATGTTCACCGCATTCAAGTTCACAGTCTCCTCCGAAAAACAGACACTACTCTTTGGACAGCTGCTAAAGTGTTAAGGGATAAACAGGTTGCCAACGCATTATAAGCCTAAAAAAAACCTGACACGATTGAGGTCCGGTTCACTGACATGGTCAGTGGAGTGTTGCAAACTGCACACGGCTCTAAATACAACTTTAAGGTTCTAGAGAAATTCAGTATAATTTCAAGTTTTCACCAATCAGTTTCATACCAGGTCAAAAGTATCATTTGAAAGTAATCGTAAATTTATCAGAATGCTGAAAGCAAACTGTTTTTTTTAGCTCGTATATTGTCAAAACAGTGTTATTTCCTCGTCAGTAGAACTGAACTGAGGCGAATGGTCCCTTCCACGCAAGTGCAGCTCTGTTGGTGGGTTTTCGTCGATGCGTTTTCGCCCATCTTACACAGTGATACGAGAAGGTTCCATTTTTAAACTTCCACACTCTGGATAGCGTTTTCGAATGTATGCGGCGTTTTCAATCGGTGAAAACGATGATCGTGTTTGATCGCACCAATTTGTGGCGAAAACGCGTCAACAAAACTCAATCATTACTTGAAATATTTAAGCAGCCTACTCAAAAGTCTTGGTCATTTGTTCTGACCCACAATAATATCATATGGCTAATATTATTCGCCATAATTAATATCTACTACCTGATATTCTTACAGGCTCTTCAAGGCATCATTACATTGGAAACTAGTGGTTAACACCTTTGACTCAGGCTCTAACTTGTTCTTGATGAAAATTTACTCAACTTTCTCTCAGTGAAGGCTATCCGTCTTTCGTTAGTCTAAATTTCTTGTTCTTTCAACGACTCTAGTATTTCAGGGGAACATTTCAAGACCA